CTATTGCACCCCTCGGAAACGGGGCCATTTCTGAGAAAAAAATGTCTCCAATATGTCACTGCTTAGTCCCCCTCAGAATGACACAGGTCCTCAAGACAAACGACCAATGTGACAGAAGTCAATAAGAATGTGATCTAAAAGCAATAAGTGCTCAGAATCCCAGCATCCTCAGAGACTGATGTGCCGCCCTAATGGTCATAATATGCAGCTGAATGGAGGGCCCTGAGGGGACCCAGTGATTTCTCTCTTTTTGCTCGGTCCTCCACTTTTTCTTTTCTGTATTCTTCCCTTTTTCTTTTGCTAACTTCGGACTTGGTTAAGTTCAAGTGCTCCTTAAGGAACACTTTGGATCACCTTTGAAATGGAACCTAAAAGTTTGAGGCCTTAAAACCCTTCATTATACTCATATGCTTCCCCAGTGACCATCCAGGGCAGGAAATAATCAATCCTTCCATCAAGTATTTATGTTCATATATTAATTGTCTTCAACTTTATCTAAAAACCTATACAGGATAAACACACACACACACACACACACAAACTATTATGTCTCAAGTGCATATTTAATCTTTTTAATGAAGTATACGATTCTTAACTCATAATAAGATGTAATTATGAAAAGTGAATGAACAACAGAAAGCAGCTAATTGATGCTCATGATGACGCCCTCCTGCATAGAATGCTTGTGTCTTTACTGCTGACCCTAAATTTGTTGCGGAAGTGGAATGAAAGTCTTGGCCAAGATCTCACATTTTTAAACAGAGCACAAGGGTCATATCTGGCTGTGATTATTCTCATGATATGTGGAAGAGAAAGTCATGATTGTGTGTGTGTGTGTGTGTCATATTCAGCAATCCAGTAGTCAGATTTTGCACAATACTTTGAATTTAGATAATAGAAAAAATATATATACAGTATATACAATTTACATTTGGATGAATGAAGCATATCATTTTCCCCCCTCAAATAACAGCGATATGCATTTAAATGAAACAGCATTTCTTTTTACAGACAGGCTTGTTTGCAAATTATTTTTTCATCACTCAAAATATATCATCATATCAAAACCTCTCCTTTTTGGCATGCACAATTGCGATCATTCATCGCCAGCCAGGAAACAGTGGTCCGATTTACACCCCTAAGGCGGATGGCTGGTAGTTTGGTAAGATATGTATTTATGGCTGGAAAGCGCCATCTTTTGTGGGGATTGATTTGTCTAGGTGCGGGCTTCGGTGTTGGGCAACTCATAGCAGTGTAAATAACTGAAGACTAATGTCTCTGTTCCTGTGATCAATATGCACCTCCTGACTTCACTCCTGGCTGCACTTGCGTTAAAAACAAATTTGTTAATTCTGACAATTTAATTGCTTTGCCTCCGTAGTTGCATATAAATGAGCATTTGAACTTGCACGGAAAAAGGAAACAGAGCTTAAAAGTGTAGCGCAACTGCATGTATTTACATTAGCATTTGCTGAATGAGGGGAATGAATGAGCTATTTAAGTAAAGCTGATGTATGAATGTAATCTTACAACATGGGTTTTTGACTCGTTTAGGTCACTGGTACATTTGTGCTTCACTACAGTTTTTATTAACACTTTTTTTTTTTTGTCTACTAGGTATCTGATTGAATAGCATTCTTTAAGTAGATTTACAGAATACATGACTACAAATAAATTTAAAGCCTAAAGTAAACTTAGTAAAAAAATAAATCTTTAAAAAAATAAAATAAATAGCAATACTTTTGTCGTGCTAGACTTACTTATCTAATTTCTGTTATATTAATTTTCATGTTTTTTTCATTCTTATATTGTCTGACATATTCATGCTAATATGTGTTCTTCATTCTCTCTAAGTTTTCCTGTTTATGTTTCTAGCATCCACGGAGTTGTTAAAAATGCGGCGTCACGACTCGCAGTTTTCTTGCAATTTAAGTTGTGATTTGAAATAATATATATTAGAGTTTTGTAATTTTTTGCAGTTTGGCATGTATTATATCACAAATCATTGGGAAGAAGTGACTCCAGATCAGTTCGCTTCAGACACAATAAATAGTAAATAAATAGGAAAAAAAATATTATGGTTGACTTCACAAAAGTAACACCATATTTTTGTCACATCCTAGTGTCCACTCTGTCTGGCATGAGCACACAGGCATGTGGTATGCATTAGGAAGCTGGTAGTAATTTCACTGCTGCTAACTACAAATTCTCTGGGGAGAGTTAATTACAGGAAGACCGTTCTAAATATCAGTGCACCAGCATACTTTCCATGACAAGAGATTTCTTTGCTCTGCTTTCCTAATGGTTTAGGGCTCTATTTATAAAGAGTTGTCTCAGGGTTTTGCTTCAAGTGCAAATTCAAACCCCCTCAGGTGATGTATCTGGAGAGAGAGGGCAGAGGTCACATGGCTCCGGACTGGACTCTGTGTAGCTCCACTACAGGCCGAAGCAGTCTGATGAGAGACTGCCCCATCACCTCTCTCTGTTTACATAGATGAAAGATTGCCTTTGTTTCTACTGTAGACCCGTTTTTGCCCCTCACCACTTGGGAATGCGGTGCTCTGTAAATGTTTACAGATTACCATTTTTCTTAAATAATCTATGCGGAACCTCAAGTCATGTACAGTTGAAATCAGACAGGGCCACTTCTGATTTTTGTCAGGGGTAAGCTTGGCATATGGAGCCGAATATATGTTTGTCTGTTTCAGTTTAATTGCGATTCAAAAGGTTTTAATGTTAACAAGTTGTTCTGTTATTAGATATTAGTATAAATATTCGTTTTTAGACTGTAAATCAATAAAAATAAAGTTCCATAAACAAGCACGTCCTTTGTAGATTAACTAATTGAATTAGAACGTCTATAATGGACACATGCACACTTTGGTCAGTTGATTGTGTGTTTTATTATTTCTGATTATCAGGAAAACAACATGCCAAATTACATTTTTGAAAGAAAAAGAACCATGTCCTAAATAACCGTCTAGTTGTGGGGAAAACTCAGCTTTATCTTTTCACAAAGTTCGACTTATTCAAATACGCATGAATTTCTCCACGGCAATTCTGTTTCCCAGCGTTATGTAAATGAGCTATCAAAATAATACAAATGAAAATGTTATAGACGGATCCAAAAATAAATAAATACATGGATAAAACCATAGCTAGTATGGTTTTGATGTGTTGTTTTCATGTCAACTCGATGACATTTAGGACAAAAATTATATTATATTAAAGTATTCATTGTTTAGAATTTTATTATAAAATATCTATTAGCATGTGTCCATAATAGGCTATAATACCAACCAGTGCATTAATTAATTAATTAATTTTTTTTTTTTTTATTTTAAGTCAACTTGCAGTTGATTGTGTGTTTTATTATTTCTGATTATCAGGAAAACAACATGCCAAATTACATTTTTGAAAGAAAAAGAACCATGTCCTAAATAACCGTCTAGTTGTGGGGAAAACTCAGCTTTATCTTTTCACAAAGTTCGACTTATTCAAATACGCATGAATTTCTCCACGGCAATTCTGTTTGCCAGCGTTATGTAAATGAGCTATCAAAATAATACAAATGAAAATGTTATAGACGGATCCAAAAATAAATAAATACATGGATAAAACCATAGCTAGTATGGTTTTGATGTGTTGTTTTCATGTCAACTCGATGACATTTAGGACAAAAATTATATTAAAGTAGCGCTTAACACGTGTTTATTCATTGTTTAGAATTTTATTATAAAATATCTATTAGCATGTGTCCATAATAGGCTATAATACCAACCAGTGCATTAATTAATTAATTAATTTTTTTAATTTTTATTTTAAGTCAACTTAATTTTAAAGCAGGACTATAAATACATGAGGAGGATAATTAATTAAACACAATTATGTTTATATTTTCCCTTAAAAGTCTACAGGATAATATTCTGTTAAACACTTTTATTCTTTTTTATTAATGCGTTTATACATTCTTGATCTCATTTGGGCAGGCAGTCTGTTCTACAATAAAATACAGTCTCTCTCAAATAAAGTGCCATTTATTGTGAAGATTCGCATCGTTGGAGATCATCCACTTAGCAAGCTTGATTCAAGTGTAATTGAAACGTGTTCCGGTTTAGCGGGGGAAAACATGTTATTTCTCAGCCGTATTACATGCTGATGAACTTATCTGATCATGCCATGCGTTTGTGAATTGAAGGGTGCTTGGGGAAATCAAACATGGGCTTGTGGTCGTACTGACTGCAACGGCAGTTTGCAGGCGCATATCCGAGGCAGAAATTCCCCAGAGCGACCCTTCAACATTGTCATGCTGGCATAAATTAAGATTGATGACAGATTAAACCCAAAGCCTGCAATCAATGCGCGCTGATTGACAGCGGATTCCAGCGCTTTTTGACATCGCGCCTGTACCGTTTCTATGACAGATGCAGCGCTTAAATATGCCATTGTGTAGGGTTTAATCCTACTTATGGATTAGTTTGATGAATTTGCTTTTTAAAAATGCGATATATTTTAATTCAATACTTCTTAAATTAATTGTTAAGTAAAGTAATATGTAATGCTTTATTTGTTTACATTCAACAAATCTTTAGTTCAGTAATAATAAGAAAGCTGTAATATTATGACAGGCAATGTAGCATTACACAATTTACACTTGTAAGGCATTTTATTGTTAAATTAAAATAATTAAATAAAAATCAATTGCATGCAATAAAATATAGATTAAGCCTAAATACATATAGTGTTTGTATTATTGAGTCATAATTTGAAATCATACTTATTATCCTCAAATGAATGTAGCCCTCCCCCCTCCCCCCAAGCTTATTAAAACTAAAGATGTTCTATCAGGAAGTCAATATGTGCCCTTGTTGAGTTTGTGTTCAAGTAAACACTCTGTACTCCTTTGAAATGGTTTCTATGCCAAGGGCAGTAGAGGGTGGGGGAGGCGCGCACACACACCCACACACACACTAACCGCTGTGCTCTTCTGTGATCCGTAGGGCCTGTTAACCTGAGCACCAGCGCACAGCTGGTTGCACCCGCTGTGGTGGTAAAAGGCACACTGTCTATCACGGCCCAGGAGTTATACTTTGAGGTGGATGAAGAAGACCCGAGTTTTAAGAACATTGATCCCAAGGTAAGAGGGTTTTTCATCGAAAAATGACTCCAATTGTCCCATGAGCAGTTGGGGTAAAATGCACATTAAAATATTTGAAACGTAATGCTTAAATGTGTTCCTTTTATTTCATTAGCTCAACAACACACTAGTATTCGAATCGGACGGCCAAAAGCAGAACATTTTTAATTTTGTTAGAACCTCTGAGTTTCTTCCGAAAAACCACGTTCATACTTAGATTTAATATTTTTCAGTAATGAAGTAAAAATAAAAATGTCTAAAATGGGATTGTTTTACGTTTTTAACAGTGTATATTTTAAAGCAGGACTATAAATACATGAGGAGGATAATTAATTAAACACAATTATGTTTATATTTTCCCTTAAAAGTCTACAGGATAATATTCTGTTAAACACTTATATTCTTTTTTATTAATGCGTTTATACATTCTTGATCTCATTTGGGCAGGCAGTCTGTTCTACAATAAAATACAGTCTCTCTCAAATAAAGTGCCATTTATTGTGAAGATTCGCATCGTTGGAGATCATCCACTTAGCAAGCTTGATTCAAGTGTAATTGAAACGTGTTCCGGTTTAGCGGGGGAAAACATGTTATTTCTCAGCCGTATTACATGCTGATGAACTTATCTGATCATGCCATGCGTTTGTGAATTGAAGGGTGCTTGGGGAAATCAAACATGGGCTTGTGGTCGTACTGACTGCAACGGCAGTTTGCAGGCGCATATCCGATGCTTTGCGCATGTAAAGAGGCAGAAATTCCCCAGAGCGACCCTTCAACATTGTCATGCTGGCATAAATTAAGATTGATGACAGATTAAACCCAAAGCCTGCAATCAATGCGCGCTGATTGACAGCGGATTCCAGCGCTTTTTGACATCGCGCCTGTACCGTTTCTATGACAGATGCAGCGCTTAAATATGCCATTGTGTAGGGTTTAATCCTACTTATGGATTAGTTTGATGAATTTGCTTTTTAAAAATGCGATATATTTTAATTCAATACTTCTTAAATTAATTGTTAAGTAAAGTAATATGTAATGCTTTATTTGTTTACATTCAACAAATCTTTAGTTCAGTAATAATAAGAAAGCTGTAATATTATGACAGGCAATGTAACATTACACGATTTACACTTGTAAGGCATTTTATTGTTAAATTAAAATAATTAAATAAAAATCAATTGCATGCAATAAAATATAGATTAAGCCTAAATACATATAGTGTTTGTATTATTGAGTCATAATTTGAAATCATACTTATTATCCTCAAATGAATGTAGCTCCCCCCCCTCCCCCTCTCCCCCCAAGCTTATTAAAACTAAAGATGTTCTATCAGGAAGTCAATATGTGCCCTTGTTGAGTTTGTGTTCAAGTAAACACTCTGTACTCCTTTGAAATGGTTTCTATGCCAAGGGCAGTAGAGGGTGGGGGAGGCGCGCACACACACCCACACACACACTAACCGCTGTGCTCTTCTGTGATCCGTAGGGCCTGTTAACCTGAGCACCAGCGCACAGCTGGTTGCACCCGCTGTGGTGGTAAAAGGCACACTGTCTATCACGGCCCAGGAGTTATACTTTGAGGTGGATGAAGAAGACCCGAGTTTTAAGAACATTGATCCCAAGGTAAGAGGGTTTCTCATCGAAAAATGACTCCAATTGTCCCATGAGCTGTGCACACTAAAAATGAAGTGACTAGCTGTGGTATAACCAAGGTCCTTTAATGTGCTTTCACAATACTGGTTTGTATGTTTTTTTATATAACTACCTTTCCACATAGGGTTTGTGAGTAATGGCTTTTTGTGGTCATCTTATCTTGCATTGGCCATATCGTAACACAAAGACAGAACAGGCTTTGCTGATAGAAAAGCTTGCTCTCTTTCCTCATAGCATGTTGCATGTGTTTCAACTGTTCACAACATATGTGGGTCAAGGCTATTAAAGTGTAACTTGCCATCATCATTGGCGTGTAGCTGAGGTGTGCCACCAAAAATCTTGACTATTAATGCAAATAAAAAAACTTAATTAGTTAAATTCTTCTGAATGCTTCATTGACTAGAAGTTTTGTTTTGCCTTTGGAAGAACAAAGTATCAACTTTCAGTATTTCCTTAACTATGAAATTCCTTTTATGTACTTGAAATATCTTGCTTTCAATACAGTTATTTTCCTAAAAGCTAGATTAATAATATTTTGCTGTTTTTACTAAAGTAACGGAATTGTGAAGTAAAATTGTTTCTTTTGCCAGAATAACATAGCTACATCAGTATTAGTAGATTATTTATTTGTTTGTTGCAAAACATTGTCTAAGTATTCCTTTTAGTAGGCTTTTTAATTCTAATAGGCTGCTTTTATTTTTGCAATAATTAATAAAACCAAAATTTTCTTTTTCTTTCTTTCTTTTTTCAAACGGGGATTTCCAGAGTAAATTAACATAATTCTTTACTCTAAAGCATTAGCCTATTATTATTCAGTCAAAAAAGTTAAAATGCAAAATGTCGTTATTTGAACATTTTATATTTTATGTTATGCCGAATTGGTTTTAATCTACAAAATTAAGTACTGTTGGTTTATGTGAGAGATCGTCTGTCCTTTAAAAAAAAAAAACATTTTAATTAGAAGTGTAAATGGCCTTGGTTGTTACACTAAAGTGCGATTATATTATTGTTATTATTTTATAAATACGATCATCTTTATTTTGTTGCTAGTATCTATTTAATTTATTATTTTTGTCATTTACAGCAACAGGCCTCCCGTGTTTTCTAGGTATCGTTAAACTGAATGAGCAGTCCACAAATACACACTGTCCTAATATTACTTTTAGCTATGCTTTTGTTTAACTAGCGAAAACAAATCCCAAAACTATATGCTTAATTATTTATGCATCTAGCTTATGCATTGTAGTCCCATTAATGCCAGGAATTTTTAATTGAGTAATGACGAATGCCAAGTTTAAATTTCATTGTGTCATGATTTTATTACACGTTTCAATTTTTGATCACATCATGAAAAAAACGAACTTGGCACGCTACATTTTGTAATTTGCAATTAAAGATCTTGTGCATATATTTAAATAAAATTTTCACTTTGTGAAAACAGTTCAAACAAACAACAAAATCATTACACTTAGTTTAAAATGTACCTTAATTTCTCTCTCCTGCAATGTCCCGTTTGAGCCTTAGCAAAAGCAAATGCTTCGGGGTTTTTTTTAAGTTTTATTTTAATCTTTTATTTTCTTGGTTTCATTACTCGGAGAGCACCGTGATCACATTCTCTCCACTTTCAGTGTTGTGATCTCGAACGTCCGTTAATATTCACCGACATAAAATGTCCTCGTTTTGCATCTTACAGTTTATCCAAACTTTTAGCGTTGGTAAGGATTTCTCTGGCCAGTCTCCAGGTCTGTTTGGCCGCTGTCTCCAGGGCTGAGTGTGGTTTACCCTGAAACAGGTCTAGATTGGGTAAGAAGTAATGTGGGCACCGGCGGCACTGCAGACAGGAGATGAGCTGCAGCAGAATACCGTTCAGACGGTCGCCGAGGCACGACTCGTCCCAGTCAGTCTCCCGCGGGTGTTTCTCGCACTCGTACAGCAGCAGGGACTTCATGTGGTAGTTATTGAGCGGCTGTCCCGGCAGCTCGAGGTGTCGATCGCGGAGAGTCTTTAGAATAGAGAGGCATTTCTTCCTGCAGCCCGACATCAGAAGCCTGTTCTCGGCCTCGCCGAACTGCAAGACCCAGGCGTCGCTTTCCGCCGAGCTCTGTTTTCCCGTTAACGAGTAGCACTCTTTGGAGAGGAGGTTAAAACCCTCCGCTTTCACCTCCGCCACCCGGTTCGGCCCGGGCCACGGGATGTGAGGCATGGGCCACTGAGCAGCACTTCTAGGCCAGATGCCCGTGCACTTGAAGGCCGGGGTGATCTGCACCACGTATCTCTCCCGAATACGCAGTTTCACTTCGCTCGTATCCGCCACCATCTTAACCACGTCCCGGTAGCTGCATTTATCCACGGCCTGGGCCACCAGCGTCTGGAAGCGGGAGCGGATCTTTCGCGCCGACAGATAACCGGAGGCGGTGATGAACTCCACCCACAAGGACATGCTCCTCTTACGGCCGTCGCTGAGTTTGAGCACCGCGCAGCCCGGCAGAGAGCCGTCATCCACGAAGTTGAAGACTCCCATCTGGTTCAGGTAAAGCACGACCTCAAACTCGTTGGGTGCGATGACCTCCATGCCCTCATAGCGCGCGTCTATCTCGCTCAGGGAGCTGATGAAACGGGGCTCCTGGACCTCCACCTCCTTCAGCACGTCCGACACCACCTTACACACCTCTCGTATGGTCTTGGCGATGGCCGCCTTGCGCGCCTGGCATCTTTCGTTGTAATATTTATTGAGCTGGTAAACCAGCTTTGCTTGCGTTGCAATCATATTGGGGCACAGATCCGGACTGTAGACCGGAGTTTCGCAGTACGCCGATGGATCCAATGCTTACCGGTGAAGCCAGAGGCACAACTCCCAGCAAAGTGAAAACAAAAATGAAGTGATGAAGTTTGCGCCCACAGCGGATAGACGTCAAGTTTGGACCAGGAAACGGATGGATGCAACGCAGTGCGACTTTTCCAACTCGACTTGAAAAGGTTTAAAGGGTTTAAGTTGTTCTCCGAGCCAGTATCAGCTGCAGGATAAATCTCCGCGCGTCATGTCATCTCTCTCACTTGTGTTTGCGCGTGAAAACTGTGCGCCAGTGTGCAGTTGTCCAGACTCAGCCGTGAGTGTTGGAATTGTTTAGTTTATGAATGGTCCTCTAGCTGGAGTGAAAGGGGGACGGGCATATCTTTCTGGCCAATCAGCGGGCTAGCTGTCAGTGCAGTTGGCCAATCGCAGCCTAGGTGCGCTGGAGAGACGCTCTCCTCCTGAACATCCAGAGCTCGAGCCGCGGCTCCTTTATACATACGGCATTAAGAGCACATATTTCAGCTGTAAGCTTTTACTTTCTTTAGCCTACATTACAACGATTTGACATGTTGGGAGTTTGTTATTTCGCTGTATGCACATTTGGTCGTAAAGTAAGATACTGTGAAAATACTACTGAAAATACTACTGAATTTTGAATGCTTATTTGTTAGGTGCGATTTTACTTACATATTTTTGTTTGTACAGAATTAAGCTTTGGTCTTTAAGAACTGGCTGCTAATTGTGTTAAACGATATTTCGTTTTTGCCGCTGTAAGGTTATTGACCGCGCACTGCTTGTGTTGCATTCGTCCACCGCGATTTCATCCTATGCTCAAAAATCTGGATACTGCTTCACTTTGGTCTTTAAGAACTGGCTGCTAATTGTGTTAAACGATATTTAGTTTTTGCCGCTGTAAGGTTATTGACCGCGCACTGCTTGTGTTGCATTCGTCCACCGCGATTTCATCCTATGCTCAAAAATCTGGATACTGCTTCACATCGATCAAATAAGCGTGTGTGTGTGTGTGCGTGTGCTCATGGTCGCACAGTATTGGAGATGTAGCTTCTGTAATATTGTGATAATGCCTAAATAAACTGATGCAGATTAGTTGAACGGTTTTCTAATCCTCTAGCCTGTTCGTGTTTATAATTGCAACACAATCAAGGGTCTTTTAAAGGACAATGTTTATAGAGTTTTATTTGAAAATGATCGTATCGTCCATAGTCACAAAAATCAAGAGCATAATGAAACGTTTTAGAGACGGATGTGTTATTCGGGTTATTCAGTGATATTGTAATTAAATGACAGTGCTCCAGTGAAGATGTATGTGCAACCTGCAGGTGTGTTATTTACAGAAGATATTCAGGATTTAACTGCTGCATGCACTTAATGTAAGGACAATAAAAGAACGTTTCAAAAACAGAAAGGAAAGAAAAAAATAAAAAGCGGAAAAAATAAAGTTGGGCTGTCATTTGTTTTCCCTTGTAGTTAAAGCTGGATTCGTACTTTTTCTTTCATATTTCTCAAAGAAACACATGTATTTATTTACTTCGTTCGTTTTTGTTTTGATGCACGTAATTTACTTTCTCCATTGTGCGCGGGTATGTTTCTCGATTATAGAATATTAATCAATATAATAATAGATTATAGACATTAACGCATTTGCTTTCCGTTCGCTCTCTGCATTCATTGCTTTCATTAAAACAACTTTCTTAAATTGTTAAACATTTTGTTTCCATTGTGTTCCATCGTCGCTCTGTTCTCACATGAGTTATGTGAATCTGAGCAGCATCCCATCGGCAGCGTAGCGTGTTAAAATGAATAATTTAGAGAGGAGAGATTGTTTGGCCTGGTAATTGAAGTCTCTTATCAAGCCAGACTTCATGTTGTATGAGTTCAGCTCTCATCACAGTTGTCTTAACGACAGGCTTAGGAGAAAGTCTGCAGACATAGCGCTGCGGGTGTAGGGTGCGTTGCGCTAAATGAGGCCATTCAAAGTATTGATCCGTCGCGAGTGAGTGTGTTTTTACAGCGAGAAAAACGAATGTCAAGAGTTTGTGTTGTTAAGCCCATCCGAGAGCCCGCGGGCTGTTTTATTTTTCGCTTGAGTAAAACACCGTTTGTTAGAAGCACGCTGAGCGAATGTTCTTTCGGTAAAGAAACTTCACGGTGTTTT